GGGGGGGGGTACTAGCTGTATGTATTGGAATGAGCACTTGGCAACTGTGTGGGTGCCTACCGCCTTCCCCTTGCTATTATATCAAACTGAATTAATACGTTTAATTATGTTTATTGTTTTTTTCGTCGGAACAATAAATGAAGAAACCGAAGGAATTCATCCCCCGCTGATCTGTCAGTGTGACACTCACTCTCTGTCACAGATCTGGACACAGCCGCCATGCACTTCTGGATAGACAAGCGTGGCACCGCCGGGCCGCACGGGGTGCCGCACCACGGGCACGGGCGCTACAGCCACCGGGTGTCGGCCTCGCTGGCCTCTAGCAGACTGCCCCGTAAGTCCAGCGCGCCCAGCGCTTCCAGCACGTCCCCAAAGGATCTCTCTGACGGCGACCTCGTTGCAGCGGGCGCAGCCCCACAGCGACGCCGCCGCCCCAGCCGGTCCTCCCGCACCAATGTGGCCAAGGCGACGACCCCCGCCGTGCACCGGCCGGGGGACGCCTCCACGTCCGGCACCACAACGTCGACCACGACGGCGCTGACGGCGTCCTCGCTGGCCGGCGGCTCCGGCTCGTCGTCGGGGTCGGCGCGGAGGGTGGGCGGCGCGGCGCCCGTCCTGGCGCCCGCCCCCTTGCTGGCCCGGGCCGCCCGCGCCCACCTTGCGCTGCCCCGGCCGCGGCCGCACCTCGCCTACATGTAAGTGTGTGAGAGAGAGAGAGACACACACAACGCATGCTGCCCATCCCCGCACCCGCGCCTGTCCTCTGGAGGAATGGCTCCTTGCCTCGGTGCCAAAGCACGCACCACTGGAGGTCGTTCCCCCTGAAGCACTGGGGAGAGCTGAGAATTCCACAACTCTTTTCCCAACGCCGAGCTTGTCGCCCGTGGCCCGACAGCACAGCGTGCGTTCAACCGCGGCCGCACACACGGACGAGTCGAAAAATAAAGTCGCTTTTTGTGCGTCCGCTCGTTAAAGTCCGCCCCCACTCCCGCGCCCGGGAGTGACTCACTCCGTATAATTGCATTCTCACTTCCAAATACAGTCGCACCCAACATGTGTTACTTGGCCATTTTGCCGCGTTTGTGGTGTATTTCCCTCCCTCCTGAACGGAACGCGCCCACCGCGCTAGTCTGGCCGCGGGCCCGCGGCGATGTACGGCAGAGCGCCCTTGTTGTTGTCCCCCCCCCC